CGCGTGAAATGGGAGGGGGAGTGTTTTGGTTTTCTTATTTAGGGAGAAATGATTTGCAAATGTCCATAATGCCCTTGCTTAAGTGGATTTGGCATTTCATTTGATTAGGGGTAAAATCGGTATTTAGAGACTTCTAAAATTAATAACTCTAAAATTAGGCTAAATCGGGTATAAGTTTTATATACTAAAACGATAAGAATTTCGCAAGAAATTTTCTAAAATTATTTCGTTGAATTTCATTAACGTTGAAAATTTTACTAAATTCTCGTTGCGGCGCTTTAAAAAGCGTGCAAAGACTAAAATAGGATTTTCGGGTTTTACATTAACATGAAAGTTTAATACTATTTACAGTTGCATAACTTACTGAGCCTTATAGATCACCAGAATTTTCATTACTGGCTGTTGTTATAGGAAAAGAGAAAGAAAAAGTAGTTGCCGACTAAGTTTCAAGTATTTCAATCCTAGATGTTAATTTTATTTATGTTTGTAAAACTAAACTAAAGGTATGTTAACATTCTCATGAAGTGTTTGTTTGGATTTTCCTTAGTGGCTCTATAATTATATTTTATGGATGCTTAAAACTTTTAGTACTTCCATTGATGTACCAGTTGATGTTGAGGATATGTTTATATGTAAATACAAATGATGAATTGTTTCAAATGGATATAAGATGAAAAATGTTATGCTTTATTTGTTACACTCTGGAGTATTGTTCAGGAGTATTATGGGTCGTTGCATCTTTCTTAGAACTGTGCTTCCAAAGCACCTTAACAAAAGGAATTGCTCTGCTCGTCAACTGTTTAACCTCAAAGTCAAGAATCTTCTCTGGTTCATTAATAAAAGTCAAGTCAGGTTGAATGTCTACCACATATGTATTAATGCTCTGAGCCTCATCTGAAATATATTTCCTTGAGGAAATATGAAACACATTATGCACTCAACTCATGTGTGCTGGTAGAATCAACCTGTAGGCCACCTTTCCAATCATTTCTAAAATCTTAAAAGGACCTACAAATCTGATACTCAGTTTTTCTGCTTTGCCAAATCTCTTCACTCCCTTCATTGGACTGATTTTGAGAAATATAAACTCTCCAATATCAAACTCAACTGATCGGTGCTTGCCATCATAATATTTCTTATGTGTGTCCTGCATTGCTCTCAATCTATCTTTGATCAATCTAATCTTTTATGTAGCATCATTAACTACATCAGCACCAATTATTTTTCTTTCTCATGTCTCAGCCCAATTTAAAGGTGTCCTACACCTTCTC